ATGGGAAGTTGTGGGGTTGACTCAATATGGGGTACAAACTTGTGGGGGTTGGGAAATTCGTACCCATCATTGTAGATGCTGCCAAGTGGTTGGGAGAAGCCAAATCAGGTTGGCAAGTGTGGCCAAGTTGGGGTGAGGTGGATTATGGAGGTTGGGAAAGTGACAACGGTGAAAGTTGGGTTGCCTATTGCGAGGGAAATTGTGTGGCACGGGGTTTGCTTGGTTGGAGACTCCTTGGGACCTTCCCTCTCGTCCTCCTCATCCCTTCCACCTGGTTTAGTGCTACTCTAATTCTCTTGTGTGAACTTGTGTGAGACTCTTGTGATTGAGTTAAGTTCTTATGGCAGCATACCCCCGTGTGCGCCGAAATTGATAAGTCGAGATTTACTTCACCTCTTGATACGATTCAAATTGGGAATTGTAGCCACGGACTAGGGCTACAACATATCTGAGTTTGGTGAAGTTTTGACCATGATCGTTTTGCCGACGGCGATTCTTGTGAGCGCGACTATTCTCTCCAGAAAGACACCAATGATTTTGAGAAATTTAGGCACCTAATCTTCATAGACTCCGTCCTTAGTCTCTAACATTGTCAATGCCGCTCGGTTCATGCAGCATGCCCACGTTGGCAGAACCATAGTGCTTGGCGGCAAGAAGGGCTGGTCTGGGGTCAAGGGTTGGACGACTCCGATAATTGAAGGCAGCGAGATTGTAGGTTCGTGCATGAAACAAATTAGGGCTGAGCCAATTATCCGGGCAATATTTTTTTTTTCCTACCCTCTAGTGCATTTAATCGAGCCTTGCATCTGAGGCGTCTCCCATGCCCATTGTTGTGTAATCCTCGTCACTGTTTGTCACCGTTTGACGCTTCTGTCGATCAAATTATGGTGATCTATCATGAATCGTCACCATCAGCATCCACAGCTTGAATCCATGCATTGGGGTTCTGACCCCCTATTTATCTCCCCTTCGTTTTTCTGGTCGGCAGTCTTCAAGTGGGACGGTGGCCACTTTGGGCACAAGCACCGCGTCGAGATCCCAAAAGACACAAATTCACTGGCCACCTGCAATACCAAGTACGTTGGCATTTGGGTCGCAAAGCCCGCACGCGAGGCAAAAGAGTCCTACACGCTTGTACATCCAACTGGTTTTATTTTTCAGCACTGTTGTACATCTTACATGATTGTGCCAAGCGTGAAATTAAGTGGTTGCCCCAATCAGCCTAATCTGGAACTCCTTTGGAGTGCATGAGGCTGCTTTTGCTGTGTCTACCCAGTTGATTGATCCAGAGATGAAATGATGTTTCAACAAAATTGAGTGGTGCTACCGCATTTGTGGTTGGTCGCCAAAGGAAAAACGCTTGGTAACAAACAAGCTTATAAAACCCCAAGAATGTGCGCTCATTACACAACACCATTACTTGCCAAAAGATTAGTACCATATGTTTCAAGATGTACATGACATGAGGTTTCTTACCATATGTTCCGTATTCTCCCGGATAAAACACCCTATGAAGACCACTGGAAAAAAATGGGGGGGTCTCCTAAAAGGAAAATCCTACATACGGTAATACCCGGGTCTTATTATATATGGTATATTTTTTATAAAGCAGAAAAGATGTGAAACAAAATCAGGGGTCTGACTTCACTTCAAGATTGTTGATCAATGCCGCAAAACCGAGTACAAGGATATTGTGGGCCACTTGGGCGACTTCGCCTCTTGGACCACTTGCAGTGGAAGATTCGCTAGCGTGGCGACAACGAGATTGTGGGAGGGGGGGTATCTTGGCTGATTCTAAGTGAAAGTACATGCGAAATTTCTTCTAGGGAGCAATTCTCGCGATATCCTCCCGTAAGGAATCGGACTCAATAGCTATAATAGGAATCTATAAGAAAACGGGGGTGTTATAGAGAATCACCTCAAAAGGGGGGGGTATAGTACTGTCAGAATGAGGAATGATGATGCCATTGATGTTGGTTGGGGTACATATAACAAACCCTAACTTCTGTACCCCCTAAGACAAACCTCACTACATGCTACAACATTTGACACACCCCCATAGCCTAAGTGAGGGGTGTCTAGAAAAAAAAAAGAGAGTACGGTCACAAGACCAGTCCAAAAGAAAACAAAGCTCAGGGTGGATCACAACGTCACCACACTCTCTGAGCACAAGCAACAGTGGCCACAAGGCCAGTCCAAGAGATCACAAGTATATATAGCAAGAGTACAGACGAAGCAGGCAATAAACTCAAGCCTACACATGACTAGAACCTGTGTCAACAAGGCCTAACTGCACACAACACCTCTGGTGGTCACGAGGCGGAAGCGCCTTGGTGAAGATGTCTGCAGTGTTGGCCTCGGACTCCACAAACTCGAAGCGAGCATGTCCACGTCTCTGCAACTCTCGCAGAAGAAAGTACCTGATGTGAATGTGCTTCACTCTGCTCTCCAGTCGCGGCTCACGACAGAGGAGGATCGACGCCTTGTTGTCAATGAACAAGGTCGGTGCAGAGCTCGGCCGCTCACCAAGGTCGGCGAGCAAGAAGGTCAACCAACGCAACTCCTGTGCCGCCATGGCACCAGCGTAAATCTCAGCCTCAGCTGTAGAGGTCGAGACTGAAGAGGAGCGCGTGGAACGCCAGGAAACAGCTCCAGAACCCAGACTGAAACAGTACCCCTGAGTAGACCTGTGAGTCTCAGCGTCGTCAGCGTAAGAGGAGTCACAGTGACCAGTGAGTACGACAGACTGCTGCCCTCCAAGAACTAGCCCCACGCCTGATGTAGTCGCTAGGTACTTCGCCACCCTCACAGCTGCCGTCCAGTGAACAGGACGGTGTCTCCCTGGCGCAACAAAGCGCGCAAGGATGCTGAGAGGGAAGGCGAGGTCCGGGCGAGTACAAGTCATCAGGTACATGAGGCAACCCACAAGCTCTGCGTAGGGACCACTAGGCTCAAACGGCTCGTCAGGAAAGGGACCAGTGAGTCTGTGGTCAACAGCGAGAGGTGTGCGCTGTACGGTGGAGTGCTGAAGCCCGAACCGCTGAAGGACCTGCTGCACCATGTGTGACTGTAAGAGTGTAATGGTGCGAGCGGCTCTGTCCCTGGTGATCTGCAGGCCAAGGTAGTGGCGCAGCTCACCAAGATCAGTGCACGTGTGTCTCTTTTGCAGTTCGGACTTCACGTCTGCCAAAGCAACCCTGTCCGGAGTGGCGAAAACGAGGTCGTGGACGTAAACCAGAACAAAGAACGGTGTGGAGCCACGACGAACGAACAGCGACGGGTCGGCAGAAGACGGCTGGAACCCAAGGTCAGAGAGGGTAGAACGCAGAGTGTCGTGCCACTCACGAGGGGCCTGGCGAAGACCGTAAACAGGTCGCCTCAGCCGTGTCCCAGGAGGGAAGGTGCCAGTGAAGGCCGAGGGACGACGCAACCAGACCTCCTCGTGTAGGCTGCCCTGAAGGAAAGCAGTGGAGAAGTCGAGAGAGTGTAACTCGTAGTCTCTCTATGCTGCTACGTGTAGTAACACCCGAAGAGTGGTCATCTTCGGGGTAGGTGCGAAGGTCTGAAAGAAGTCAACTCCCTCGCGCTGACTGAAACCTCTAGCCACGTAGCGCGCCTTGAAGACCGGGGGAGATCCCGGTGGCCGCTTCACCCTGTAGATCCACATGCCGTCGACTACGTTCGCCCCAGGGGGGGGAACCTCATCGACGTAGGTGCCTGTGGATCTGTAGGAGGCCATCTCTGCATCCATGGCAGCTCTCCACTGAGAGGCCCAAGGCCCTGACACTGCCTCAGCGTAAGTGCGAGGAGTCGGAATGTCAAGGGCGTCGGGGTCACCCTCAGGGGCGAGGAGCATGGCACAGAGATGAGGGGAAGCGGCCGCCAGGAACTCTAGCTCAAACTGCCTGTCCTCTAGGGCGTCACAGCCAAGGGCAGACACACCCCCGACGGCCAGAGGACTGGTAGGAGGAGCAGCCACAAGCGTGGTGGCGTAGTCAAGGCGGCGGGTAGAGGCAAAGTCAGTAACTGCGGCAGTAAGAGCGGACACAGAGGACACAGAGGCACGAGGGCGAGTAACAAGAGAGGCGAGAACACGAGAGAGAACAGGATGGTACGTGCGGTAGTAGTCAGTGACAGGAGTAGGGAGCGACACAGTGAGGGCCGACTCAGGAGGAGACGGAAGCACAGACTGAGACGGACGAGGTGGACTAGAAAGAAGGAAGGCAGTACGAAGGTCAGTGAAGGGAACAGGAGACGAGGGACGAGCACGAGGGGAGCGACGAGTAGCCCAAGAACGAGACGGAGGAGGAGAGGACAAAGGCGGAGAACTGGGGAAAACAGCGGGGGAGGAGTCAGGAGGAGGAAACGTGGGACCGTAGACAGGAGGAGAGGCGGAGGAGGGAGGAGAAGGGGAGGGGAGACCAAGGGTCCGAAGACCCGAGACAGGAGGAGGAAGCGGCTGCTGCTGCTGCTGCTGCGACTGCTGCTGCTGCGGAAGCGGCTGCTGCTGGGACTGCTGCTCCTGCGGGTCCAGCTGCTGCTGCTGCTGCTGCTGCTGCTGCTGCTCCTGCGGCTCCAGCTGCTGCTGCTGCTCCTCCAGCCGCTGTAACTCCCTCTCCTCTCTCTCCAACGCCAGCTGCTCGTCACGGGCACGGCGAACACGAGCCTGGTGCCTAGTCGGGTAGGGGTGGGGGGGCGGAGTAGTGTCCGAAGCAGCGGTAGCTCCAGAGTCCACCCCCGAAGAACCAGGCGCACCACCCCCAGAGGCAGCACTAACACCAGCTCCAGACCCAGGCTCGCCAGAACCCGAAGGAGGCGCACTCTCACCCCCAGTGTCCGCCCGACCAGCACCAGCTCCCGGACGACAAGAGTCCTCTGCACCCACCGGGTCAGCTCCAACTCCAGAACCAGAAACTCCAGCTCCAACTCCAGCTCCAACCCCACCACCCCCAGAACCAGAAACCGGTACAGGAACAGGCGCAGCACCAACCTTTCGAGAGCTAGCACCTGCGGCACGCTGCGAGGAGGACTGTGGGGAGGGAGGCTGTACCGGAGAGGCTACCGAAGGAGGAGGGGTAGCCTGGGACACACCCGACGGGGCTGGACCAGGGGGGGGAGGCTGTACCGGGGGAACAGGAGGGGGAGCGGCAGTCAGGAAGAGGGGGGGAGGAGGAACCTGGAGACCTCGACTGGGGTACCTGACGTAGTACGGAGTGGACTCCTCGAAACGGACGTCACGGGAGTTAACCGGTGAGAGGGAGGGTGGTAAAAGGTGAAGTCACAGGAGTCCTCAGGGAAACCAAGGAAGACACAGGGGACGGCACGAGGCGAGAGCTTGTCCACGGAGGTGTCGCGGACAAGAGCCAAGCACCCCCAGACACGAAACCGCGACGCAACACCAGGGGACCCTGTCCAAAGACTGGTCGGTGAAACCTCTGGTCGAGAGACACGTGGCCAGAGGTTCAGCTGGTGCGCGGCGTACCTGACCGCGTAGGGCCACAGAAAATGGGGGGCACAGGCGTGAGTCAGGGAGGTGCGGGCGATCTCCATGACCAGGCCTATGCGGCGCTCAGCAACCCCATTCTGCTGTGGGGACTCTGGAAGCGTCCAGGACTGACGAATGCCCTGCTCGCGACAGAATCCAGTGAGAATGCCGGAGCGAAACTCACCCCCACGGTCGGAGTGGAGGCAGCTGACACGACGACCACGAGTGTCCTCGGTGGTGAGCAACCACCTGATCAGCGTAGAAGTCACCTCAGACTTCTTCGCCAGAGGGAACACTGTGGTGTAGCGGGAGAAGTCGTCAACGACCACCAGAAAGTAGCGCTCACGCTCAGGGCCTAGACGAGGGGCGGGGCCCCAGACGTCCAAGTGAAGCGTCTCAAAAGGCTCGGTGGCCGGACGAAGGGAGGAGGAGTGAGGGGCGGCGCGCAGCCGACCCTCGACGCAGGGACCACACGGCGGCGCAAGCGAAGGCAGCAGCGACGGCAAGACACGTGGGAGGCCTAGGACAAGACGCTGACTAGACATAGCGCGCAGACGAGGAAGGGACGGGTGCCCCATCCGGTGGTGCCACAGAACGGTGGGGTGGGCAAGCGACCGGCAGGAGCACGACGCAGCGACTGGAGCAGACGTAGGAACCTGACACGACACAGACACCTGGGGGGACGAAGCAACCTGGTGAGACGCGGGGACCCGAACGGGGGGGGGAACCGGGGGCAGTGGCAGTAGGGGCGGCTGCTGGTGCGACCGCTGGTGCAGCTGCTGCTGCTGCTGCTGCGGCTGCGGCTGCTGCTGCTGCTGCGGCTGCTGCTGCGGCGCACGCGGGCCAGTGTGAAGAGTGTAGAGACCTGAGCCCGGCTCAGCAGTAAAGGTAGCAAGAGGCTGGTAAGAGTCTCCGTCAACACACACCGCAGTCTCTCCAGAAGGCTCAAACCACACACCCACGTGCTGACTCACGAGGGGTCGCACGCCCACCAAGTTCCGGGAGAAGGAGGGGACGTGAAACCCAGTGAGAGACCCGGAGGGAGCAGCAGGACACGGTAAAGTGGTAGTGTGACGTGCAGTGACTGGTCCCGTAGTGGGATCAGCCAAAGCCACAGAAGCAGGCGCAGGAAGTGGTGTAAGTGTCGTGCTGTCCCGGAAGAAGCAGTGTGAGGCTCCAGAGTCCAGCGTGAACGACAGCGAAGCGTCCTCTGAGGTAGTCGCTGGTCTAGAGTCTACACAAGAACCTACACTAGCAACAGGCAACTGAGCAAGACTAGCACCTAAGCTAACAACACCAGAGTAAACAGAGTCAGAAACACTAGAGTCAACAACAGCATACATAGCATGAGGAGCACCAATCAGATCAACTAACTGCTCAGCAGACATGCCCCACAGAGCGGAGCCGTAGCGCTGAACCAGAGGAAGCCAGTCAAGAGCAGGACCGCCAACCCCGTAGGCCAACCGGACCGTGTCAGTGAGCTGAGCAAAGCACTGACCAGGGGGGTGAAAGCGGCCACAAGGGTGGCCCCGACGAGGACCTGTCAGAACCTGATAGGTGCAGGGAGGGTAAGAAGCACCGCGCTGGGGCTGACGCAGCCCCGACCCCGGAGCCAGCTGCTGACGCTGCTGCTGCTGAGGCTGGCGGGAGGAAAGGGGCTGCTGCTGCTGCTGAAGGTGCTGCTGACGCTGAGCCTGGTACCACGCCGCTGCTCCACCTAGCGGGGTCGGCAGTACAGGAGGCGACTGACGAGCTCGGGGGTCGCCGCCACCAGCAGGCGCAGTGGAGTCACCAGCCGCTGCACGAGGGGTCTCTCCAGACGCTGCACTCCCACCACCGCCAGTCGCAACTGCACCCCCACTACCTCCGCTACCTCCACCTCCACCTCCACCAGAACTACCTTTCTTGCCACCCTTGCCGCGGGACCGCGACGCAGTCGTAACAGCAGCCGCAGTCGCGTCAGTAGCGGCAGTGGCGAGAGAGGCAGTGAAGGTGGGTAACTGCGGGACTGTGCACCCGTGGAAGAGTGGGGGGGACACAGTACCAGAGGCGGCAGCTACCGAGCGAAGGTTGCTCTCGACGTCCTTGAGTGCAGACTCAAGGACCTCGATAGTCAGCTCACTAGGGTGTTTCAGCAGAAGCGCGTCACGAACGGAGGCTAGGCGGTCAGGGAGGCTAGTGGCGATGAAATAGACAGTAATCGCCATGGGGGGAGGAAGCAGTGCAAGCTGTGCCTCAGTGCAAGCAGCGCGGTAACTAGCGTCAAGCGAGCGGAGGTGAGCGATCAAGTCAGCAGAGCGCTCAAACGAGGCGAGATCAGGAAACAGGAACGGGAGGAAAAGACGGCCAAGAGAGACAGTAGCGGGAGTAGAGTAGCGGGCCTTAATCGCAGTGAGGTACGCAGCAGCGGTGCGAACCTGAGTAAAGTGGACCTCCTCTGACTCAGGGAGGAGGCTGCTGAGTGCGATGCAGGCCGCAGCGTCACGCGACGTCCAAGCCGTCCGGTCAGCGCGCTGACGGGCAAAGCGAGCCGTAGCAGCGTCGTCAGGGGCAGAGCCTAAAGCTGTAGGCTCGGGGGGCTCGGGGAGGTCACCAGTAGCGTGCGACCAGAGGGTCTCGCCCCCCTGGACCTGACTCTCTAACAGACGGCGAGCGCGAAGAAGCCAGACGGAAAAGTCAAGTGGTCTACCGTCAGCGTCGAAACGAAGAACTCGCGGAGTCGCCATAGTGAGAACTAACGCGAACGAACAGGCGAGTAACAACCGGGGAGAAGAGGCAAATTAGGGTTCAGGTGGGAAGGGGACTCAGTCGCAGCGGAAGAGCGGGCTAGGGCGACGGGCCAGGGCGTAGGGTAGGGCGACGGGCTAGGGCGTAGGGTAGGGCGACGGGCCAGGGCGTAGGGTAGGGCGACGGGCCAGGGCGTAGGGTAGGGCGACGGGCCAGGGCGTAGGGTAGGGCGACGGGCCAGGGCGTAGGGTAGGGCGACGGGCCAGGGCGTAGGGTAGGGCGACGGGCCAGGGCGTAGGGTAGGGCGACGGGCCAGGGCGTAGGGTAGGGCGACGGGCCAGGGCGTAGGGTAGGGCGACGGGCCAGGGCGTAGGGACGGGACAGGGCGACGCGACGGGGCAGGGCGGCGCGATGGGGCAGGGTGACGGGACGGGGCAGGGCGACGCGACAGGGCAGGGCGACGCGACGGGGCAGGGTGACGGGACGGGGCAGAGCGACGCGACGGGGCAGGGCGACGGGACGGGGCAGGGCGACGCGACGGGACAGGGCGACGGGACGGGGGGGAAAGGGCGGGCACGACGTGACGGGGGGAACGGGCGCGACGCGACGGGGGGAAAGAGCGCTAGGCGACGGGGGGAAAGGGCGCGACGCGACAGGGGGGGGGGGGGGGGGGGGGGGAGGGGGGGGGAAGGGCGCTAGGCGACGGGGAGAAAGGGCGCTAAGCGACGGGGGAGAGGGCGCTAGGCTCGGTACTAGGCGCGGTAACAACGGAACCGGTACGAACGAGAGGTAGGATCAGGCTCGGGAGGGACGAACGGAGAACGGAGGAACGGGATCCCACAGGATCCTAACCTAGCTGATACCATGTCAGAATGAGGAATGATGATGCCATTGATGTTGGTTGGGGTACATATAACAAACCCTAACTTCTGTACCCCCTAAGACAAACCTCACTACAGGCTACAACATTTGACAAGTACTAACGGGGTCGGATATAACACCCACCCCGCATAAGCTACCCGGGGGTGTACAATTACGGGGGGGTGTTTTATCCGGGAGAATACGATACATCTGCTTACTTTCCTGGCCATGGTTGGGGTGATTTCCTGCTCCCCACTTTACCCTTCCCCTTGTCCTTACCCGTACCCTTCTCTGCCCCTCTCCTCTCCTCAGCCTCAGACTTTTTGCCTTTTCCTCACCCTCCCTCGCTTTCCTCTCCCCGTCCTCCCTCGTTTTCTTTGCTGCACCCTCCTCCTTGACAAGCTGCTTTCGCGACTAACACTCTCTTGCCTTCCTCTCTTTCTCTCTCTCCCTCTTCACCCCACTCACTCCCGCTCCTTGTTTCTCTCCACCAGCAGGCCCCCCTGTCCGCTCCCATTCCATTTTTCCCATTCTTCCCCCCTTTCCTACTCTGATTTGTTACCACTATCTACTCTTAATCTACAACTTTTCAAATCACCTAAGGCCTTTCCTGGGTCTTCTTACACCTGCTTTGCCTCCAGGTGGTGGCTTGGGTGATTTTCTGCTCCCCCCTTTGCCCTTCCCCTTGTCCTTCCCCTTACCCTTCTCTGCCTCTCTCCTTGCCCTCTCAGCTTCATCCCGTTTCGCCTTTTCCTCTGCCTCCCTCGCCTTCCTCTCCTCTTCCTCCCTCTCTCTCATCTCTGCAGCATCCTCTTTTTCCCTCGCTCTGCCCTTTGCAAGCTGCTTTCGCTCCTCCCACTCTCTTGCCTTCCTCTCTTTCTCTGTCTCCCTCTTCACCCCAGTGGCTTCCCCGTTTTGCTTCTCTCCACTGGCAGCCCCCACTGTCTTCTCCCCTCCCTTCTCCCCTCCCTTCTCACCCCCATTCTCCCCTCCCTTCTCCACTCCCTTCCCCCCTCCCTGCTCTGACTTGTTACCACTATCAGCCCCCCCAGCATGATCTCCTCTCTTCTCCGACCCTTTCCCACTCCTACGAGATGAGCCTGGGCGTGGGGCTGACGTAGTGTTCGATGGCATAACAGGGTTACTACTTTTTGTGGTGGAGTTACCGTTTGCACCAGCAGCAACAGCTTCAGTGGAATTGTTTGATGGGATAGCAGGAGCACCGTTTCCTGTGGTGGAGTTACCGCTCGCAGCACCAGCAGCAGCAACAGCTTCAGTGGAATTGTTTGATGGGATAGCAGGAGCACCGTTTCCTGTGGTGGAGTTACCACTCGCAGCACCAGCAGCAGCAACAGCTTCAGTAATATTGTTTGATGGGATAGCAGGAGCACCGTTTCCTGTGGTGGAGTTACCACTCGCAGCACCAGCAGCAGCAACAGCTTCAGTAATATTGTTTGATGGGATAGCAGGAGCACCGCTTCCTGTGGTGGAGTTACCACTCGCAGCACCAGTGTTGGCAACTACTCCAGTCGAATTGTCTGCTTTCTTTGCAGCAGCCGCAGCAGCAGCAGCAGCAGCAGCGGTGGCGGCGTCTTTCTGGATCTTCGCCCATTCATCCAGAGCTGGGAGTAGCACAAACACCAGAACACAAGAGTTAATGAAGGAGGATTTTCAAGCCAGCCTTTGAAAAAACTGATATTGAGTTAATGGGCCTTAGAATGAACCAGTCGGGTTTTGTACATGAAGCCAGCATAGACTGTAAAGAACTGATGAACCTTGAACCACGTGAAACCAATGGAAACGATGGCTGAGCAAGGGAGGAAACTCGAAACAAAACCGAAACACTTGCTGAGAGGGAAAGAGAGAGGGAGTTCTGGCTTATTGCAGGCTTTTCTTACCAGTGCATTGGCTCTTCACCAGGTCCGCACCCATGTCCTGGTTGACACAGTAAGGGTGGTTTTCACACCGATGCATTGAGAACCAGCCACATCCATTCGTGCTCCAGCTCTCACAGAATCCAAATTCTTCTTCATGCAACCATTGCCTGCTGCTGCTGCTGCTGCCATCCCCACCAGCTGACGTCGCAGAGTTGTTTGCTGGTGCGGGATCCGTGCTGGCGTGGCAGTCGATGACACCATTGCAGACGCGAGAATATTCCACGCACTGAACACCGTTGGGACACTTTTTGTAGTACAGGAGGCACGAAAATCTCCGGCACACCTCGGGATCCTCGTCATCAGCATAAGCAGCTCCGTTAGCAGCACCTGCGCTTCTATTGCTGTAGTTGCTGTAATCAATACAGTCCTGTACCCCATCGCACCACTGTGCCAATGGCAGGCACCGGCCAGTAGAAGGGCACTGCTTACTATCGCTTATCCAGCTGAATGGACAGTCAAATAAGCGGCAGAGAAAAGGGTCCTCATCCGCTGTGTAAGGCAGCAGGGTAGGCGAACCGATAGTGGCTGATGAGCTTTCACTGAAAGGCGAGCCGCCAGGTCTAACCACCCCTGGCGCAGCAGCATCTGAGCCTTCAGTTGCACCATGCATCCCCTGAGCTGCATCACCAGTTGTGCTGGCGGTGACCGGGCAGTCGTTCGTGCCATCGCACCTCCGCCTTTCTTCAATACACAGGGTGCTTCCAGGGCACTTCCAGCGTCCATATGAGCAATTGTGGCTCTTGCACATCGCCGTATCCTCGTCATCACTTAAAGCCGATGCTTCCGTGCCTGTATTGGCCACAGCAGCAGCAGCAGCAGCACCACCACCATTCGTGGCCCCTTCATCATCATCCCCTAAAGGACAATCGTTCTTCCCATCGCAAACCTGTGAGATATGAAGGTACACATCGACCCACACGCCCCCCTCCTCTTCATACCCAGGAACAATCACTTGCCGCTGCCGCTGGCACTTGAAATACCCATTCTCCTTCGTAAAGCACACTTCGGGATTCTCATCCTCGCCATAAGGCAGGGTCTGATTCGTTACAGGGTGCTTCATCAGTGGGCATTCGTCCTCGCCGTCGCATGCCCCCACACACTTGTTGGTTTTGGTGCAGCGAACCTGGTCTGAGTACCGACAGCCTGGCCCGCATTGCTCGTCTGGGTCACTTTCGGGATCCACGCAGCAGTAGCCTGAGCCATAGGTGATGTTGCATGACCATAGGTCCGCACACAGTGCCTGGAGTGGCACGAAGTGGGAAGCGAGTAGAGTTACGTGCATGAAGTAGGTTTGGGAGAGAAAGAAATGCGTAACAGTGGGGAGGAGATTTTGAAAGAGGAGCGATTTGGAGTGGAAAGAGTTGAGTAAATAGAGTGGGAGAGGAGAGAATGGGAGAGGATAGATTGGAAGGGGAGATGGTATCAGGTGAGAGGATGTGAGAATAAAGATCATTGGGAGAGAAGGAGACTGAGAAACACAGTGGGAGAGATTTAACGGGAGGGAGAGGAAGAGCCGAATCAGGAGGACGAGGGTCAATGCTAGGAATGTCATGCATAAAAGGCCAGAGATTGGAGCTTACATAGGTGTTATGTCGCTGCTTACACATCCATTCCTCGTGCACGCATGGCTGGTTCTCACCCCGGCAGTACTTGCCACCAGGTGCCCCATTGTCAATACACTCCCTCTCTCCAGGCCCACACCCGTCGCTGCTTCCGTTGCTTGTGTCGTCGCTGTCAAAAAAGTCCCAATTGGGATCCTGTGCCGCCACCTTTTGAGGTTGGGGGAGAGGCAAGAGTGAGGGGAAGCAAGGGAGGCAAGAGGTGAGAGTGGGGTAAGAGAGCAAGTTATATGGAAGGATCCACTGAGGCTTGGGAATATGAGCTGAAGAGAGGTCAAATCAGTGGAGCTAACATGAGATGCGCGGACAAGCTGGAGTGGGAGTGGGAGAAGGCGGTGGGAAGGGAGTTTAGTTAAATATTTGGCTGGGCCTCCAGGGTCCTGTTTCCGAGCCCCATCCAGGATTATGTGCTGCCACCTTTCGAGATGGGAGGGGCAGAGTGGGGAAGGATGGGAGAATAATGGGGTTCCCTGGCGAAAATCCCTAAATCTGTGAGTGGGGACGAGAGATGGAAGAGTGGAAGCCTCCACTGGATGAGCGAAGACAGGTCAGAGAGGAGGAAAAGGGGAGTAGAAGAGGAAAAGGGGCTCTTGGGGCAGAGGAACAGAGGAAAAGGGGAACGGCGGCTGTCGGGAGACGCGTTACCTCTTCTTCCAGTGTGGACATTGCTGACGTCAGCAACGCCAGTAGTAGGAGCGCGAGAAGCAGCCACGAAACCGCAGGTAACGACCTGAACGGCAGTCGATGTGCCATTACTTATGGTAGTAGTATTATATGACGGCCACGATCCGTCCCGCGTTCTCGTTACTTCGACTCGGAGGCGCCGTTGAGCGTGATGAATTCCGATCGGAAGAAAAAGTCACGTTTTAGGGTTTCGGGGTGTGACGATCTGGCAGTGACACTGACAGCACAACTAAACTTGTCGCTTATATCCGAGTGTAATAAAGAGCGATATTCAAAACGAGTAACGGCGGGCTCTGCTGAGATTATTGCGAAACAAGGAATTATCGAGAGGAAGAGATCAGTAGAACTGCCCGTTGTAGAAAGTAATGGAAAACTGGATCGGGTACACACACAAATGGAGGGGGAAGTAGGTGTTGGAGAAATGTGACGGGGCGCATCACAAGAGATATTGCCCCTTGCTGTCAACCTGAGGTTGGTGGTGGCGCGGACTGACGCCCTCTGACCCCCGACGACCCCAGCGGAGGAAAGTTTAGCCCTGGATGGAAGGCGCCCACCTGAGCGCAACACTCGCAGGTAGATTTCAGGAGAAACAGCGATGCCAGTTTTAGGGGCTTTGATGAGGTCGCGGAAGTCAACGCGATAAATCATTCGTGCGAAAGAAAACGAATGTGCGAATGTTACGTTACTAACTTTTTATACATGCATGTCTTTGTTATGAGTTGTAAGCAAGCTTGCGAATGATATACTAAGGTTATACGAAGGTTATAACGAAGCAATAACATAGGAGGCTACAGAGGGGAAATTTCAAGAATTTAGGAAAGGCGCAGGTTGGGGGACTTAATGTATAAGAAGGCGATATGTATCAATTTTTTCGGCATTCCTCACCACGGCTAATTTTTTTAATGACCCTTATTATCAGTTGTTGGAAACAATCGTTCCTAAGCGCCTCTGTCGTGTCGAAACACTAAGGCACAAGCGAAGCAGAGCATATCGAGGCACCAGCGAGTCAACCCTCGGAGGTTGAAGTAACCGCTGGAGGTTACGCGAAAGTCAAAGGTCAGCGACCTTTGACCTGACAAATGCAGCGCAACAGCAAGGACACACAACTTGTCAGAACATATAGCTTCTGCATATTGTGTAGGCTATAGTGGGGTAGCCCATAAGGGGTACAACCCAATTAGGGTTAGTACTTGTACTCAGTTCATTCATAGTTCATTCATTCTCGTTCTCATCTTCTCATTGTATCGAGCAGGTTCCCCTGTGGGAACAATGCCTAGGGCCCACCACTTCGAATTTCGAATTTTTTTTTCCTACCCGAGGCGCGCTCTGCCCGAGTCGCGCTCTCACCTCGTCGAGCCGCCCTAGCGACCCTCCCTTCCTTAGCGGCCCCGCCACCCGTTAGTGCGGCCCCGCCCGCTTTCACGGCCCCGCCGCCCTACTTCGCGGCCCCGCCGTCCATTCGTGCGGCCCCGCCTGCAGTCGCGGCCCCGCAGCCCTACGTCGCGGCCCCGCCGCCCTACGTTGCGGCCTCGCCGCCCCTCTCCTGCGGCCCTGCCGCCCTACTTCGCGGCCCCGCCGCGCTTCTCCTACGGCCCTGCCGCCCTCCTTTGCGGCCCCGCCGCCCTACATTGCGGCCCTGCCGCCCTACTCCTGCGGCCCCGCCGCCCTACATTGCGGCCCCGCCGCCCATCTCCTGCGGCCCCGCCGCCCTACTCCAGCGGCCCCGCCGCCCTCTACGTCGCGGCCCCGCCACTGTACATCGCGGCCCCGCCGCCCCACTTCAGCGGCCCCGCCGCCCTCTACGTCGCGGCCCCGCCGCTTTACGTCGCGGCCCAGCCGCCCTACTCCTGCGGCCCCGCCGCCCTGATCAGCGGCCCCGCCGCCCTGCCGTCGC